AGTGTTTATGTTAAGTACACTATCATTTGGCTTTTGTGCTATCTAATACGAACCTTTCGAATCCATTGGCACCACTTATATTGCACTCGCTGTGAATGTTCATTGCGCTAGCGGATTATGTCATTTTCCATTCTCCTTACACTTTCAATCGAGCACATGTCATAATTCCTTTGTTTTTCTCTCAGGGAAACGATAGAATCGCACCTTCTCCGAAATAGTGACAGATGAATTGAGGGCATCCTTTGTCCGTTTCGATTGTGTAGTATATAAAAGAAGAAGATGATCAGAAATTTCCGTTCCGCACTACAAATAATTTTGAGGCAGATATGCTGAAGATAATTACCCATATCCATGGAAGAGTACGCTCTTGAAATTGGAATGCGTTTTCGCTACTTAAATAGACCTTTCATGGTTAATATACTGCAGCAATATTTCAAATTATACGGCAGTTTGTCAAAGTAACATTTATTTGTGTAGAAATACCATCTTCTTTCAGGAAGCGGAAAATTCCCGAAAAAGTGAAAAATCGGTGTTTCGAAGTAAAATTGAGTTTCAAACGTAAGGAAAGCCTGTTGTTGCAGAAACATAGTAAATGAAGCAGCACAAGTAGACTTACCTTTGTAATTGATCCTCTTGTGAAATTCTTGAAGATAAATGCTTCCATATAATGCGCAATGTATAGTAAGACTGTAACCAAATAGCCCGAATATCTAGTAGGTATTCCAACATGGGTTTGCGAGGGTCACCAGTTGTTTCTTCCATCTATACATTATTTGAGATATGCCTGACCAAGGAAACCAGATTGGTATTTGATTCCGCCGAGGATGTTTTCACGTGAGTGAAATTGTTCATGGTTTTTGTATTACAGCAGAAGGCGAATTCAAGCAGCTGGAATGACTGATCAAAATATATACACATAAACGGTCTAGATTGCGCAGACAATCCACGCCCATTATATTGAACGATAACACTAAAAAACATACCATATGCGGGACAGAGACAAAACTGCAGGATTTGAAGTTTGAACTTCTTCGGCATTCACTAACCTCACTAAATCGTACCCCCATCCCTCGCCCTTTCCTACAGATTTTCGATAACATTGTTTTCGCTGGTAAACAATTTCCTTGTGACAATGCTGTACAACAGCCGCTCCAGGATGTTCCTGACGCTCCACTACCAGCTTAAGCTATCAAGAGATTGAAAAAAGCTAGCACTGAAATCAAAGAGATTAATTTTAACTTTAAAACACGAAAAAGCTTTCTTTTTTCTAAAATTTTCCTACTTACTTCTGAACATTTGAACAACTTTTCTCTCTTCTACAAATTCCTTCCTTAAGTCTAAACATTTGAACCGGCTCACTTGCTGGTAATTTTATACATTTGTGTTAACACATCTTTTTGTTTTCCTTTTTGGAAGGCTGGGATTTAATACTCACGCCACACATCCAGTTTTCTCTTATACGCCTGGGCCTACAGCTGACAGACACAGGGTCTTCGTCGCCTACAAACGAAAGGAAATTCCTGCATGGGACAGATCAGAGATGTGAGTCAAATCCTCTTTTCTAAAAACTTTCAATAATAACAAGTACCCCTAACCCATTTATTCAACTTCACATCTGAATGCCCTTAAGCCGCCGGTAGAACGGAAACTTCTGTTTTCTAGAAAGTGCCTGCGATGGATGCAAGTTGTATCCAATGCTGCTAGCCAGATGTTAAGCCAGTTGCAACATCTTACTGGGCAGTCGGAAGCAGCCGCTCATGCTAACTTATTCTCAGTACTCGGAGACATTACACGACTTGTCGTGTAATCCAGCAGAGCTTTCGTTTTTATCCGCTTCAATCGCCTGACTTGAAACACCTTTGGTAGAGAATCATACTAAATTGATACATTTGCGCATATTGAACTTCTAACCGCTATAAAGGACAACTTGCACGAGCCCTCCCTTTCTCATCAGCTGGCATGTCCTGTGGATTCGTTGCATAGTTTTGGCATCCAAATATTCGTAAAATAACATCCGACCATTCATCGATTCTCTGCTAACGACACGCCTTGTGCATAGAAGGTGTACTGCGCAACAGCGAATATTAATGCTCTTGTGAGGGCGCGTGCGATATTACCTTGAGGCTGTGGCTCTCAATGTTAAACAGGCCGCCTATGCCTGACACGCACGACATTTTCCGAACCTCTATACTGGCATGGCCAAAGAGGGAAAAGCTAATCTCACATGCGCAGAATATGCGATAAAATTCAGGTGCAAAGGAAGCCAATACACGTTATTTTAAGGAGTTGAACTGAACTTCTCTGTTGGCGTGTTGTCGTGGTAGCCTTGAATCGCGTTTGACGAACTTTGTCGTTGAGACTGAGCTAGATCACCTATCTCCTCCCATTCGCGTGTTCGAGTAACCTATTTGATGCAAGTAGACAGAAAAGAAGATTGAACTGACGCGGCGGACTTGGCATAAAAAACGTTATCTGGCGCATGCCACGAAGCACCTCCAATTTCTCAGAGCTGAGGAATGCTGTGAAAAGCACATTGAAGACTAGACATTAGGGTTTAGCGCTGCGTCAAAAGGAGTACATGATTATTCTCTTTATTGTGCTGGTGATGTTATTGCATTGCAATAAATAAACGCCACCTTGTATCGGTCCCACTCCCTACTTCCGAAGACATGCGGTAGCGACTTGTTCGAGGTTCTTAGTCAACTGAGCACACGAGGGGCTGGTGCTGATTGGACCGCTGTCTGAAATATCCTATAAGCAAGTGGGGCTAAGCAATCTCTCTTACGATTGTAGCTCGTCAACATGACTTCTGGCGAAGCAGACCATTTTGTTTGAGCTCGTTTTAATACGTGCATACGTTCGATCGTTCTTTTCCCTTGCTGATAGGTACCTACCGCTAACTATGACTGATAAGACCTCCATAATAATGTTTCGAATTATTTGGCTCTGTAAAAACGATGGGGTACAGCGGTTGTCCAGCATTGTATGCACAGCGGGGCGGGGGACGAAAACGAACGTTCGATGCTACGCAAATCTATTAAAACCTAAATCTAATCCACGTACTAATAGGCGTCGCTACACCACCAGGCTGTGGACTACACGGTGGACCTCATCAGAATCGCCTGGCGCGTGCGTTAGGCGGCATCTTCACTTCAAATGAACACTGAGTATCACCTTATCCGCTATCAAATCAACTAGCATAGGCTATTCTTACAGGTGACCGAAGGAGACTCCTTCAAATTCGGGCATCCTGGTGTAAGTGAAGTAGCTTGGGATTGGCCTAAACGATCATAAATATTCCGCAAATATTCCCATTTTACAATTGAGAATCCATGTTGGCAAACATATGTTTTTGGCAATTCATCATTGGGCCAGTTCAATGCAAGGACAGAAATGCTCAGTTATATGTAGTGTAGTTCTACATCATTTCAGTTTATTATCGAGAAAGCATTTTAGAAGTTTGGTTTATATTTCAGGATACAGACAATCTATCGTAGGATGGGTTGTAATATTGATCGTATTTAACCGAAGCGTTTTTTCGCGTCCCTCATGACGTCTTCTTAGAAGCACGGTGTTTTCGGGTGCAACGTATTTCGGGAATCAAAATGATTACTAAAGGTTTAAAAATAAGTATCTATTCAACAAATCAATAAAACGAAAATGAATTTTCTTCCTGTGAGTTTAAAAATATATTTGAATCTGTGAGGACAAATACGTAGTCGTTTTTGTAGAAGGCCGGCATTCTGGTGGGACACATAACATTTGGAAGTAAGATGTATGCTTATCAGTATTGTAAC